ACTAAAATCTTAAAGAAAATCATTCTTAAGGCATTACATTGAATTTTAAGTATGTCCGCTTTTGTAAAATGGTCCATTATTGCACAGCTTCAAATGATGTAAGTGTAAAATTACATCATTGATATGATGTCAAGTGTTAAGTAGAGGATAGGTAATGATTAAATGTTGAATTTATGAAATAAGTTAATAATGTCCAGCTCTGACAGACTGGGCCAGCACAAACTGTGCATTATTCAACTAGTGGTATAAATTTAATATTAAATCATTGCCCATTTAATACTCTTTATAACATGGCTTTATTTGAATGTAAATACTCTAGGCAGAAAGAAGAATGAATAAGTTGGTTCATTCTGACCTTACGATGAGTATTGTAGTGATGTGGATGTTTTGACCTTTATCCATATATACAATATGCCGACATTTCATTATCATCTTTAAAACTATTTTGAATGTTTGATTAGAAAAGAAATTTTTTATAGGTACATAGCTGTAATTCTATTGTGTGAAATACAAAACTATATTTTCATATTTCCTGTTGTAAGAAACGAATGATAAATCGATTTTTATCATGCAAAACATTCGCATAAATTAGATCAGTTCCACAACTGTCCAAGACCAATTTTTCTGGTTTCCATAGAAATCAACATGTATATGTAGGTATACGGGAAGTCATGAAGGTAATAATTGTGCATGTAGGTAGGTAAATGACAATACAACAAACAAATGATACAAATGAAGTGTGAGTGTGCCTGCTTGCCTGTGCTTTTGCGTGCGTGTGTATGTGTGTGTGGTAAACATGATGGAGATATTTCATCACAAGAAAATCTTTATTTTCCACATAAAAGTTAAGATTTGTAATTTAAGAAAACACGCGTTGCAACAACCATATTTTTTGAAGAAAGAAAGAGAAACCAATGTTGATATTGTTAATCAGTTACTTTGTCTGAATGTTGATGGGGATTAGTATTCGTCATTCTTCTAGCAACGTTTTAGAAAGAGTTTTTGAATGTTCAAGAATTATTTCAGTTGGGTTCTTTTTACAGCGTTTTACATTTTATGTAGACAACCGCAATTTACTCTTACTACACATACTAAAACATTCTACACTTAATATACTGTGCGAGTCTATGCTTTTAAAATAAGTAACTGAAAATAGTGAATGACATCAAGCTTTGTACAATTAAACAAATAATTTATTTGCTTTGATAATAAAGGAAATAGGACAGAAAAGAACGTACGGAATTGTGAATTAAACCCCACCCCAATAATCCAAGAATTACAGATACAAGAGTTAATAATTTAAAGTCCAGAATTAAACTCTATACATGTCCCTGAAAAAATCCAAAACTGAAGGCGACGACGTGTCTGTTATAGCTAATAGACGGTTGATGATGTCAACAGTCTTTCGTTAAATCAGCTTTTTATTTAGTATAAATTCCATGGTATGTCTTTATCCAAGAATATTGCTAGAGCACTTTTGTACTTCCAGAGAAAATATTCACTTGAATTCAATAATATAACGAAAAAGATTCATCCCAACTATCCACAACATAACACAACATGAAAGTGCTAGATGTTAAAGCACGAATGACCACGTCCTCACAATTACACGATTGTTAAAAATACGTCAAAATCCAAACCAAAACAACAACAACAAGAATATAAAGTTCTCCACTTGAATTCAGGTTACAATTAGCATTTTCTATATTAAAAAATTACCTAATGGAAAATAACCCTCTAGAATGATACTGATGTTTACAGAATGAAAACCATAGCCTTGATTACACACAGAAAATTCCAAAACATATCCAAATAAACACATTTACTTCTTGTATTAATAATTGTCCTGATGTTAACCTCATATATACAGATAATAATTTAGCCATGTGTTAGTTGTTTACACAAAATAAAATTTAAAAAAGTCAATCAGGTCAAGCAGAAATGAACTCAGTTTTGGACAACTTCAAGTTCGACATACAATGTTAATATACAATAGTATGTAACGAAATTAAACACATTAAAACTAACTAGCAAAGAATTAAATTAAATATACATGTCTATACACACTACCACATTTTTCTTCTAATTTAAACACTGCTGCAACATACTCTTAATACACACACTACCGCAGTTGACTGTTATTATTATTATACACACTACCTAAATTAACTCTCATTATGCATGCTACCGCACTTTACTCATTATATACACTCTACTTCATTCAACACTTAATATACACACTACCGCATTTTAATCATTATATACACCCTACCTCATTCAACACTTAATATACACATTACCACACATTACTCATTATGTACACTCTACTTCATTCAACACTTAATACACACTCTACCGCACTTTACTCATTATATACACTCTACTTCATTCAACACTTAATATACACACTACCGCACATTACTCATTATATACACTCTACTTCATTCAACACATAATATACACATTACCGCACTTTACTCATTATATACACTCTACTTCATTCAACACTTAATACACACTCTACCGCACTTTATACACTCTACTTCATTCAACACTTAAAATACACACTACCGCACTTTACTCATTATATACACTCTACTTCATTCAACACATAATATACACATTACCGCACTTTACTCATTATATACACTCTACTTCATTCAACACTTAATACACACACTACCGCACTTTACTCATTATATACACTCTACTTCATTCAACACTTAATACACACACTACCGCACTTTACTCATTATATACACTCTACTTCATTCAACATTTAGTACACACACTACCGCACTCTACTCTTTATGTACACTCTACTTCATTCAACACTTAATACACACACTACCGCACTTTACTCATTATATACTCTACTTCATTCAACACTTAATACACACACTACCGCACTTTACTCATTATATACACTCTACTTCATTCAACACTTAATACACACACTACCGTACTTTACTCATTATATACACTCTACTTCATTCAACACTTAATACACACACTACCGCACTTTACTCATTATATACACTCTACTTCATTCAACACTTAATACACACACTACCGCACTTTACTCATTATATACACTCTACTTCATTCAACACTTAGTACACACACTACCGCACTCTACTCTTTATGTACACTCTACTTCATTCAACACTTAATACACACACTACCGCACTCTACTCTTTATGTACACTCTACTTCATTCAACACTTAATACACACACTACCGCACTTTACTCATTATATACACTCTACTTCATTCAACACTTAATACACACACTACCGCACTTTACTCATTATATACACTCTACTTCATTCAACACTTAGTACACACACTACCGCACTCTACTCTTTATGTACACTCTACTTCATTCAACACTTAATACACACACTACCGCACTTTACTCATTATATACACTCTACTTCATTCAACACTTAGTACACACACTACCGCACTCTACTCTTTATGTACACTCTACTTCATTCAACACTTAATATTCACATTACCGCACTTTACTCATTATATACACTCTACTTCATTCAACACTTAATACACACATTACCGCACTTTACTCATTATATACACTCTACTTCATTCAACACTTAATACACACACTACCGCACTTTACTCATTATATACACTCTACTTGATTCAACACTTAATATATACACTACCGCACATTACTCACTATATACACTCTACTTCATTTAACACTTCACGCTGCCGCATTCTACTCTTAACAAACATACTACCTCATTTAACTCTTAATTTACACACTGCTGCATTTTGCTCTCGATATACACGCTACCTCATTTTACTATAAATTTACACACAAGCACATTTTACTTCTAATATATGCAATACCGCTTGCTATCCTTAATATACGTATTACCAGATTTTACTCTTAACATTGAAGTTAACATACACATGACCTCATTTTACTTTCATTATAGACCTTTCCGGTAGACAGTGCTTGCATAGTTATCTTCTACTAGTTGATAGGTCCAGCCATAGTGTCGGTCATTACGTTGCTGACCAATCTTGGTTACCAAAAATGCAAACTTTGTACATTTGGTTAGTTAGGATAACAGATAACACACTACGGTAATTTACTATTTATATACACCCTACCTAATTAACTCACATTATACACCCCACCGCATTTTTCTCTTAATATACACACTACCTCATTTAGCACCTAACATACACGCTACCACAGTCTACTATTGTTATACTCAATACAGCAATTTACTGTTAATATACACACTACCTCATTTTGCTAATAATATACACACTACCTCATTTAATTCTTAATATACACACCACCTCACTTAACGACCGCTTCCTAGTGGTTAGTCGCGGGTTCGAACCCTGGCTGAGTTATATCAAAGACTTCTAAAAGTAGCACTAACAGCTACCTCGCTTGGTGCTCAGCTTTAAAAGGTTAGTGCTAGGACTGGTCGGCCCTGTGTTAGGATAATGTGACGGGTGGGAAATAATGCTAAAGGTCTGCAGCATGAAGCCCCAGTGCTAGATATCATCGTAAATTGCCACACTGCAGACATCGTCCTAATATGACTGAAAAATTGTTAAAGATACTTTAAAAATACAAATCACACACACATCCACACACACACACACACACACACACACACACACACTTAATTTAATTCTTAATACATTCTCTCAGTATACCCACTACCTAACTGAACTTTCGCATTTTACTCTTTAATTACATACTACTTCGTTAATTTATCAGATCTGTTTCTGTGACAGTTTGTATTCAGACATAATTCACTTTGTCAGACTGCGTTTTCTATGACTGTGTTTGGTTGGGCTTGTCTGTTACCTAATGTTGGCATCAGTTCTAGAGCTTGGACATATGCTGGTGAATTTAACTGGTTCAAATTATTTGTATAAAATAGAATAAATTACTGAAAATTAATTTGGTGTAAATATATCAAAATATTTTGATGCATGTAACCGCTCCTGTGGATTAGTGGTTATAGTGTCTGCCTCGGATGCGGGAGGTCGTCGGTTCGAACCCCGGCCGAGTCATATCAAAGACTTAACAAAATGGTACTAACAGCTACCTTACTTGGCGCTCAGCGTTAAGAGGTTAGTGTTAGGACTGGTTGGTCTGGTGTCAGGATAATGTGACTGGGCGGGACATCATGCTACATGTCTGCAGCATGATGCTCCAGTTCTAAACATCACTACGAAGTGTCATACTCAAGATGATATGACTGAAAAAATTTAAAAGCTAAAAATCTAAATCACACACACACACACACACACACACACACACACACACACACACCTTGTAATCATTAGTTTTAGAGGGTAGATACAATATCTCAATAAGAATTATATAATAAAAGAACATTGATTCTTGTATACTATGTTACTCAAAGGCGAAAATTATGTTTTCAATATTTACCAATAGATGACAAAATTACATACAAAATAAATTCTAACAAAGTATCAGCAGCTGTAGTTTGCGGATGTCTCTCTAATTGCTCATTATCTGTAATTTGTGGATGTCTATGTAATTGCTCATTATCTGTAGTTTGTGGATGTCCCTGTAATTGCTCATTATCTGTAATTTGTGGATGTCTATGTAATTTCTCATTATCTGTAGTTTGTGGATGTCCCTGTAATTGCTCATTATCTGTAATTTGTGGATGTCTCTGTAATTGCTAATAATCTGTAGTTTGTGGATGACCCTGTAATTGTTCATTATCTGTAGTTTTTGGATGTCCCTGTAGTTGCTCATTATCTGTAATTTGTGGATGTCTATGTAATTGCTCATTATCTGTAATTTGTGGATGTCTATGTAATTGCTCATTATCTGTAGTTTGTGGAAGTCCCTGTAATTGCTCATTATCTGTAATTTGTGGATGTCTCTGTAATTGCTAATAATCTGTAGTTTGTGGATGACCCTGTAATTGTTCATTATCTGTAGTTTTTGGATGTCCCTGTAGTTGCTCATTATCTGTAATTTGTGGATGTCTATGTAATTGCTCATTATCTTTAATTTGTGGATGTATATGTAATTGCTCATCATCTGTGTTTTGCGGATGTCTCTCTAATTGCTCATTATCTGTAATTTGTGGATGTCTATGTAATTGCTCAGATATGTAGTTTGTAGATGTCAATGTAATTGCTCATTATCTGTAATTTGTGGATGTCCCTGTAATTACTCATTATCGGTAATTTGTGGATGTCCATGTAATTGCTCATTATCTGTAGTTTGTGGATGTCCCTTTAATTGCTCATTAACTATAATTTGTGGATGTCCCTGTAATTGCTCATTATCTGTGGTTTGTGGATGACCCTGTAATTGCCCAGCATATGTAATTTTTGGATGTCCCTGTAATTGCTCATTATCTATTGTTTGTGGATGTCCCTGTAATTGCTCATTATCAGGATATGTTGTCAGCTTCTACGGGACGAAATAAGAGCGACAATATTATAAATATATACATTGCAATGGGACATTGCAGATTTTCATTTTTTCAGAAACACACCAAAACCAAATTGTTTAGAATCACACTTGTTTAAGCTTATTATAATTTAAACAATAATCAGCCATATGGTATCAAATAGTAAAACGCATGACCAAATTTGACCAGTAGTACTAGAAACGTGATAGACTCGTGTAATTATATTGCAATATCAGTTTTTGCTATACTGATGTGATGTTGAAATATATTTAAATATTTGCATTATTTTTCGCGTAGACTAATTACGTTGCTGGATTTTGAGCCAAATGTCACTGCATCGTACCGTAAAATTAAATTATTGAAACATTAATTAGTTAGGTTTGCAATAATTTGGACTTTTTTCATATATGCAGAAGAAGGGTTTGACAGTCATGCCAACCAAGGCCAGTTTGTGATTACTTTTAACTCTTTACTAACTGTATCGATGTAAAATGGAAACCAGTCTCGAAATGTGTGACGATTAAATAGAGTATAATATAGGTTTAACTGGACAGGACTAGTTGATAATGAAACGGAAAATATAGTAAAATGAATCTTTAGAGAGCTTAGTAGTAACTGAAAAAATAAAAACATTGTTTTATTGATGGAATTTCACTTTTGAGCTTGGAACATTCATTACTAAAATTACCTCATGACTGGTGCGGAAATGAAACTCTCACCCAGAATGCATATATATATATATATATATATATATATATATATATATATATATATATATATATATATATATATATATATATATATATACTGATAAATACAGGTTTGGTCATCAGCAATCAAAAATGTAAAGCTATTAAAATCATTGTGTTTTAAAGTTTAAAAAAAAATTGGTAGTGTGAGTCGTTGAATACTTTCTCTTTAATATTCAGAACCTTATCTTGCCTGTCTTGGCGTGGGAAGGGCGATGCTAGACAAGTTATATCGACAGACATTCGACAAGTTATCACATAAATGTCCTGTAAGATAATTGTGAGAGTAAACCCCAACTCACCCCTATCCACCCCACCCCATATTGAATAGCTCCTGATAACATGGAATCTAATAATTTTCCCTCAAGACTCTCAGAGCGTTCATTTTTGTCCCCGTGAGAGAGGAAGACTGGAGAGTGTCTCTAATAGCGAAATTTTCCTGGCACCCGTCCGCCATTCTAATCAGCCACTAATGCACTCTTCACAATTGCAAAAACAAAGAGCGCTACAGGGCATTCCAATTAATGGTATTGATATTGGTACATCCTCTTTATCAGAAGTTTGCAAAACACATCCCTTCGTTCACTTTATAAAACAAATACAATGTAATTATGTTTTACAGAATTGCTTGTGTTTACAGCGAGTTATTCCTGGCGAATAAGCTGAGTTTATGCAGAATCTAATAATCTTTTACCAGCGATTCGCCAGCCTCGTGTTTGGGTCGCTTTTTATGCCGAAGGCGCCACCGTTGACATATTCAATCCATCTCTTTCGTGGACAGTTGTTGATGTACTGGTAATTGGTACTCGTTATGGGAACATGAATTTAATATTTATGTATGAACAAACGAACAAATGGATGACAGAAGCGTCTCCAGAACTCATGAAATTTTAATATTTCCGGAAGGGATTAAAAACACGGTTTTGTAATGCATCAAAGCCTAGCCAGTTTATTGTATTGTACCATGTAATCACTCTTCTGTCAACTTTTAATCTCCTCATCGTTGCTGATGAGATCGTTTGAAAAGTTAATACAAAAATAAACAGGTGGGTTTTATTCCATGTAAATGTATAAAACATTGGAAATCGATGATGAAATTATAAATTGTCATAAATTTCATTAGTAAAATAACAGACCATTGCTGTAATCGCAATGTGACTTCACCTGAATTAAACCCAATTGTAAAACAATTTATACAAAATGTTATCCATTTTAATTCTGAAATACCGTTTTAATCACACACCGAAATTTATAGTACTTGGAAAAGAGATCTCTTCCACAACGTCGTGCACGTTATCGCGTTAGCTTTAAGAAACAGTATGTCTGCTTAGTGCTATATAAACTTCGGTAGATCTTGTGTGTATAAAAACATTCATGCATGCATCGATTCATTCATACACAGACATGCACAAATAGACATATACACAAACTCGTGTAAACTTGTATACTTTGTAAGAAAAATGTAATGGCAACTTACAAAGTCTACCTATCTACCAAGAAACGTTGACTTTGTTATTGATTATTTTAAGTTCCGTAAAGAGCTGCTGGGCAGTCTTCTCCCGGCCAAAGTGGGATCTGTTGCGAATGACACCAACGGTAGCAAGCTTGTCGGACTTCGCAAACGTCTACGAAGTAGCCGCGATTATCTTGGTTCTGGCTTTTCATCACGTGACTATCTAGATTCTGGATGTTTGTCAATTCGTCACTTGCTTGTTCGACCACTAATATACACGTAAATCTGGGCAAAGACAAGTGTGGAGACATATAAGAATTAAATAGATTTACGAACGTCGTCCGTACACCTGTCCATTCGCCAACAGACATGTATAATCTAAGAGGCGGATGTAAGGGCAACTGAGTTTCTGTTACTAACAGAAGAAACGAATGACACAAGAATATATAATAACATTTAAGCATAGAAAGACTATTATTATTCTGAATGAAAGAATGGACTATACGTATCTCATTTTGACAGAAACATGGACTATACTATCGTATTCTGACAGAATGATTGGACTATATGTATCTCATTCTGACAAAAAGATTGGAATTCACGTGTCTCATTCTGACTGAAAGCTAGGACTACACGTATAGTAGTCTGACAGAAAGTTTGGACTACACATATCTCATTTCGAAAGAAAGATTGGACTACACGTATCGTATTCTGACAGCAAGACTGAACTACACGTTTCCCTTTCTGACAGAAAAATTGGAGTATACGTATCTCATTCTAACAAAAAGATTAGACTACACGTATCGTATTCTGACAAAGACTGGACTATAACTATCTCATTCTGACAGAATGATTGGAATATATATATATATATATATATATATATATATATATATATATATATATATATATATATATATATATATATATATATATATATATATATATATATATATATATATAATGTTCAAATTTTAATTCCGTTATGAAAATGCAGCTATCAAAGCGCACAGTTTTCTCTATCTGTCATTTATCGTAACTGAGGGAGGTAACCCACCGCGAGGAGTATGAAAATTATGCACTTAACAGACACTTTTGACTGTTCACAAGACCGTGGATGTAAGTATGTCATAACTTCATGACGTCAGAATGACTAGATATCGTGTTATAACTAACTGCAACATAATACAATAGTTTGAGATTATTGGAACTGAATGATTTTTCAATTGTTTTTCATTATAATGTTGCAGGAATAATTTTAGCAATTATAAATCCAAGTATTTCGATGATGGCTGAAATGAACTCGAGTTTTGATTTTAGCTCCTATCATTTTATAAGAACCTGTTCTTTGCAGATCTAGCCGCATGTTTGTCCACCAATCGCTGAGCAAGTTTTGGACGTCTAATTACG